AACATTGGAATAGGCTGCCCAGAGAGGTGGTGGAGTCACCATCCCTGGAAGCATTCAAAAAATGGGTAGATGTGGCACTTGGGCACATGGTTTAGTCTAGTCTACCCTTGATTGGTTTAGTGTGGACTTGGTAATGTTAGGTTAATGGTTGGACTGGATGATCTTAAAGGTCTTTTCCAACCTAAACAGTTCTGATTCTATGATTCTATGATTCTATGATTCTATGATTCTATGATTCTATGATCAGCATCCAGGGTGCGCCACGATGCTGTCTTTGCAGGTGATTTATACAGAAGACTCTCATTAGGCCCTACAAATTACACCATAATGCACAGTCCATGGAGGAGAACAAGAAAACATGTGACTGACCTTCCTAAGCTGATGTGAGGTGAATGTTGTCCCGATCTCACATGTAGAAGTTTGCTCACTTACTGAAGGAGCAGGAATCTCAGTGGTTGAACAGTTTTCTATGGAAGCGTCAGATCTGATCTTTTTGGATCTGCTGGCTGGTCTGGTTTCTGCATCCTTCCTGAGAGAAAGATCTTCCCCAGTGTTATCCTGATGGCCTTTTTCATCTCAGTGTACTCAGTGTGTAGGTCATTGGGTTTAGTATTGGGGTGACCACAGTATAAACAATGGAGGCCACCTTGTCCATAGAGAATTCTTTATAAGGCTGAGCATACAAAAAGATGCAGGGCATGAATATCAAGCTCACAATGGTTATCTGGGTTCCACAGGTAGACAGGGCTTTCTGCTTCCCTTCTGTGATGCATGTCCTTATCTTTGGCAAGATGACAGTATAAGAAATAATCAAGATTACAAAAAGAATAATGAGAATCACTCCACTATTAAACACCATCTGTAGTTCAGCCATGCAGATGTCAGCGCAGGCCACTTTGATGACTTGAGGGACAACACAGTAGAAATTGTCTAGTATTTGGGCCACAGAATGGTAGCTGGAGAAGAAAAACATTTTGTATAGTAGAGTGTACAAATCCACTGAACCATGCAATTGCCACCAATCCTATACACATGTTCCAGTTCATGATAGACAGGTTACACAGTGGCTCACAGATGGCCACATACCGATCAGCTGTCATCCTTACAAGGAAAAAAGCCATCACACCAGCAATGAAATGAAAGAACATCTGGAGGAACCACTCATTGAATGAGATCATTGTACGTTGGGTGAGGAGGCCTGAGCAGTTTGGGATTATTGACTGAGGAATCACTGACACCAAGGAAAGCTAAGCTGGCCAGCAGGACGTATATGGGTGTGTGGATCTGGTGATCAACAGCTACAGTTGCAATGGTGGTGAAGGTCACTGGCCAGGTTACCACATAGATGAGAGACATCACACAGAGACAGTACTGCAGCTTGCAACTCTGTGCCAGGCCCAACAGGACAAATTCTGTCACAGTGGTGGTGATGTTCTTTGATTCCATACTTTATCCCTGCACCAGCAACAGCAATAAAGATGGTTATAAACATGTATTGGAGTATAGCATCATTAAAACATAGAAACATGAAATAATTTAGGTTGGGAGGGATTTCTGGAGGTCATCAAGTCTCACAAACTCTGTGGACCTGTTCAAGTATATGGCTAGTCTCATGGAAAAAAATAAAGAAACAAGATGATCCCTTATATTTAGTAAGAATTTAGCATGTCCCAGTTAATATCTGTTGCTGTTTGCTTTCATCGTGTTGCTGTACTCCTCTAGGAAGAGTCTGACTCCATCTCCTCTGTATCCTCATCTCATCAGCTAGTTATAGACAGAGATAAGGTCTCCCCTTAGCCTTCACTTCTTAAAGATGAACAAAGCTACTTCTCTCAGCCTCTCCTTGCATGTCATATGCTCCTGCCCAGTGATTAGTTTGGTGACCCTCCAAGGAACTAGCTCCAGTATAACACTGTCTTTCTTGTCCTGGAGAGTCCTGGACTGGACACTACCGCAAATGGGGTTCACGAGCATTGAATAGAGGGGTAGGATCATTTCCCTGGGCTAGCTGGCTGGACCCTTGCTAACAGAGCCCTGGATGCATATTGACTTCTTTGCCACATGAACACATTGTCATCTCTTATTCAGATATTTGTTTACCAGGGTCTTTTTCTGCAAAGCTGCTTCCTAGATACTCTGCCAATAGCCTCTACTGATTGCACAAGGACTGTCCTTTCCCAGATGCAAGATGTCATATTTACTTTTGTCAGACATTATGGATGTTCATGCCAGCCTATTTCTTCAAACTGTCCAGGTCCCTATGAATAGCAGCCCTGCCATCCAGCATACTGACTGTTTTCCCCATTTTGATGTCCTCCACACACTCACTGAGAGAACATTGCATCCCATCATCCAGCTCATTAATGAAGACATTAAACAGTTGACCACAGTTTTTACCCCTGAGGGACACTAGTTACTTCTCACCAGCTGCACTTCACACCACTGATATCCTCTTCTTGAATTCAGCAGTCCAGCCAATTTTCCACCCACCTTATCATACATTTATCCAGCGCATATCCCACCATGTTGGTGATAAGGAGGCTATGGGAGGCTATGGGAGACTATGTGCTAAAGTCAAGGTATACAATATTCACTGCCCTGCCCTCATCCACAGCGCCAGTCACCTCATCATAGAAACCTATGAAGGACATGATTTGTCCTCAGAATATCCATTGTTAGCTCTTCCCAATCACCTCCTTGTCCTCCATGTGTTTAGCAATGGGCCCATAATCTTCCCAGGGACTGAGGTGAGGCTGATCGGCCTGTAGTTCCCTGGATCCTCCTTCTTGCCATTTCTGAAGATGGATGTGGCAATTGCCTATTTCCAACCACCAGGAATCTCCCTCAATTGTCATTTTTAAGATGATAGAACACAGCCTTGCAGTGACACAAGCCAGCTACTTCAGCACTGTAGGATGAATCCAATCTTGTGCCATTTTCTTGTGCAGGTCTAATTGGCTTAAGTTAGCCTTGTTGCTTTCAACCATGGGTACTGTTTCACAAACTCAGCAGAAAGCTCAAGAACCTAAGAAGCCTGAGGGCAAAGCTTACTATGGAAATCTGATGCAAAAAGGCATTGAGTAAATCAGCCATTCGCACATCTGTTGTCACTAGGTCCCCAACCCCACTAAGCAATGGGCCCACATTCTTCTTAGTCTTCCTTTTGCTACCAATGTACTTTGAGAAACATTTCTTCCTGCCCTTCAACTCCTTTTCAAGTTTCAGCTCCAGCTGAGCATTGGCTTTTCCCGACTCCATTCCTATATGAGCAGACAATGTCTCTGTGTCGGTCTGAAGTAGCCTGTTCCTCCTTTTACCTTCTGTGTAGGTCTTTTTTGTATTAGAGCTGCCAGGAGATCCCTGTGCATCCATGTTGGCATTCTTTTGCACTTGCTTGACTTACTGCAAATTTGAATGCATTCCACTCTGAGGAGGCAGACATTGAAGAACAGTTTTCCTGTGCCCGTTTACCCTCCAGGACAGTTTTCCTTGGGATCCTGCCAAGCAGGCACCTGAACAAGCCGAAATTTGCTCTTCAGAAGGCCAGGGATGTGATTCTGTTGTTTCTTTTGCTCAGTCTACTCAGAACTTTAAACTCCACTGTCCTATGCTGTCCATTGCAACAGCCAAGCATACATTCAACTCTCACTTCTTAATCCAGTTCAGTGTCCTTATTTCCCTTCTGAAATGACTCATCAAGTTCATAATAATAATGCAATGGTAAATATCATTGTAGAAATTCTTTCTGCTTGCTCACTCTGACACATAGAGCATCCTTCTACAATCTTTTGGAACACACTTCCTACTCT